TCCACGCTCCTCAAACTCTCCGAGTCCCTTAGAATCGCATCAACCTGTGCGCCCAAAAAAGCACGGAGCTGCGCTACGCCGCCCATCTCCGGGTTCAGTGCGACCCCGAGCCAATCCGGGATATGGTGCAGCGCGTGGAGGATAGGGAAGAACTTGGTTGCGGTCATAATTGGGATCGCGCCCTCGACGGCGCGCAGGATCGGGTGGTCGAATTCGGGGTGGTGAGCCCCCCAAAGGAGTGCGCGTAACTGTAGGCGGTGACGATGTCCATAGCAAGGGAGCGGAACCGCGGAAGAGGTTAACGGGTGTGCTTTGTATTTGGAAATTTGTTCTACGAAGAGATCGACCTGCAGAGGTACTAGTCAGATGTTGAGCAAGGTAAGTAAAGTCTGAGTAGTACCTTTTCGTGGACAAAGATCTCCAGCTTCAAAATCGCACGCCGCGAAAAAGAGGATTGAGAATCTCTCGCCGTATCTTGTGATCCTGGACGTTCGTCATCGCGAAGGAGGCATCGTCCTCTCCAAAACAGGTATAAACTCCGGATCCTTCGTGAATCCGGTGTAGGAAGGGTAGATCGCAAAGAACGCTTCAGCGTATTGAAGTGGAGCTAGTAAAACTGTCAGCCTCAACGCATATTCATAGGAGTAATACTTCGTTCGGTCGTATTCTGACCACCGGACCTGAGCAAGCGTGATACACATTCGGAGTTCATGCGGAAGATATGATACCATAGACTTCATGCAGCGTCTCCAAGTGTTGCACGAACATGCCATTTTTCCAACCTCGAAGTAGGCTGCGAGTAGTCTGAGACGGCGGCAAGACGTGGTCCGGGGAATGACTTCAATGGGTGAAGGTACAGTCGATACACCAGAAGGTAGACAAACGAGCGACGACGAGCAGGAAGAAGAGCTGGAGGTAGGAAAGAGTGTCGCCTATGCTGAGGCCCGTCATTGGGGATGGTTGTATTCAGCCATAACTGGCTAGATACTTATATATATAGGTTCAAAACCAGTCCCCATATTAGCCGGCTTGATGGTGATGGTAGAAAGAAGAAGGGACAGGTTTTGTCGCGTGGACAAGTTCTGTCGCGTCGGCGGTCGCTGATTTCCCACCTAACGGCAAGAGGCAACCTAAGAGTACGGTGAGTTGAGTAAGACCTGAAATGCTGTAGAACGATCCACCTGATAAGTGGTTCGACTCTGTAGCAGTCCATAAACAGTACGTCCAGCGTACAGCCTATGTACCACCACGCACGAAAGATGTTCTTACGCACACGGAACGGTGTCCCTGCGACTAAAGATGGAGAAGAACCTTCGCTGGATCTCCACTCGACGTCGAACCGTCGGCGCTATGGCTTTGACCCTGCTCGAGATTACAAGCGACTTCACCTTGCTTGTTAAGGTCCTTCGAAACTGGTATTCACCCGTCGGCTACATACCGGGATTTCCGATCTCAATGCCCACTCACCAACCTACGCGGCGCAAAATGAGTTTTCTATGTCGTGAAACTAGGGAATAGACGGTGCGCGCCGGCGATGATGGGGTGGTTGATAGCCTAGCTGGCTTACGAGCCATTGCGTCGTTATGAAGAGTGGCGTATCACAAGGCAAGTTCGAAGCGGGTGTAGGCACTAGGTAGGCGCGTCACTGTCACTGACAATCACGTCACCAAGTGCAAATTGACTGAGACGGACCTTCAAAAGTGTACGAGCCCTTCCCAGCCGAGATGTCAGTCCCATTTGCCTTGTGCTCCTTTGCTTCTGGCGGTAGATTTACCTTCCGATGACAAGCAACGGGCAACTTGTTCCCGCACACAAATCGAGGAATGGTCGTACAGTGAACCAAGGTAATGACTGCGAGGTGGTAGGAGGATTCCAATGCGACACCTACCTCACTCTTATCCGCTGCTTGAATGAAGAATTCTTGGTGACTTGTGAACGCGAACGAAGTGATTTTGGCACAGCCACATTGCCATTTTGACGCGGACCGCCATGATCCATCAACACGGCTCACTAAACAAGTTAAAGAGGCCACTAAGCACCTCGCCGGTCGACGTCGATAGGACGGAACATCCGGGTACACAGGAGACCGGGTCCCAGTGCATGATATAACGCTCTGCTGTCCATGCCGCGAGCGCGAAATGGATAACAGCGATGACGAGAATGAAGTTCTTGCTCAGCCACGCCACACGCGACAGGTGACGTCTGATTCGAAATCGCGCGCGCACTTGGAAGTCTCACGGTCAGGGCACCTTTTCTGCCAGTGCAAACGAATTGTATGCAGCTGGGCGGTTCTCATGATTGTGCCGCTTCGGGCTGCGCTCGCCTCGATCCTCCTCGCATGTATACAGCCCCTCCAGTATACCTCCACGTGCAGGTCGGACAAACGCCTGTTCTATTCTCTTGACATGGACCGTTCTTGGGGCGCTGTCAGAAACAGAGCGTCCGGGTGGTCGTCATTTTTCGCAAGAACCAACAACCGAAACAAACGTTGCCAATCTCTGAATTTGGTGAGCGGATCTATGAAGTCTCCGGCGAAGCTGTCAAGTGCTTCGATATTCCCAGGAGCAGCTCTCCGTGCGCGGGACTGAGGTGGTTAATCGTCGCGATTGTGCTGTGATGTACGCCAGAAACCCCGGAACGGTACTGTTCCTGGTCTACCTGCACTATCAGAAGTACCTTTCTAACCCATTCTACAGATGGGGGGAACCGCGATGTTAATGGTTCCTTGTCATGCCTTTTCTTTCCATCATCAACGGCGACTCGGCTACGATGGTGTTTTTAGCCATTGCTAAGGCTATAAGTACCTGGCCAGCCGTCATTTGGTACAACTGAAATATCCACCATGACAAACCTTGTAGGCGACACGGTTTCCTACCTTCAGCTCTTTGTCCTGCTTGTCGTCGCTCGCTGCGTCTATCTTCTGGTCTATCGACTGTATCTTCACCCGCTCAAGGCATTCCCGGGCCCACGTCTCGCGGCCGTCACAGACTACTACCAAGGCTACTTTGAGGTATGGAAGAATGGGATGTTCGTGCAACACTTGGACAAGTTGCATGAAGTCTATGGTTTGGATGTCTTCTGTATACACTATGACTCGGATTCTGACATTTTGCTTGAGGCCCGGTGGTCAGAATACGACCGAACGAGGTACGTTTGCTGCTACGAGTCTTGTGTCCGATGCTGACAACATGCGACGCTGTAGCTCCACTTTAATACGGCTGAAGCGTTCTTTGCGATATACCCATCCCACACCGGGTTCACTAAAGACCCGGACTTTTATATGTGTTTTGGAGAGGACGATGCCGCATTTGCGATGACAAACGTTCAAGACCACAGGATACGGCGGGAGATTATGAATCCTCTCTTTTCGCGGCGTGCGATTTTGAAGCTGGAGATCTTTATTCAGGAAAAGGTACTCGTCTCACACAAATTTTTACCTTGCTACACATCTAACTACCTCTGTAGGTCGACCTCTTCGTAGAGCAAATTCAGAAACACCGAACCGCTCCCGTTAACCTCTTTCGCGGCTTTCGCTCGCTCGCGATGGACGTCGTGACCGCCTACAGTTACTCGCACTCCTTTGGAGGCCTCACCACGCCCGGGTTTGATCACCCGATCCTACGCGCCGTCGAGGGCGCGATCCCGCTAATGACCGCGACCAAGTTGTTCCCATTCCTCCACGCACTGCATCATCTCCCGGACAGAGTCGGGGTCGCGCTGAACCCGGACATGGGTGGCGTCGCGCAGCTTCGGACCTTTTTGGGGGCGCAGGTTGATGCGATTTTGAAGCACCCGGAGAGCTTGAGGAGCGTGGAACACGAGACGATTTATCATCATCTAATTACCCCCGAGTTGGTGAAGAAGGGGGAGGTACCGTCGAGAAAAGCGTTGATTGAAGAGGTGTGTGTTTTCCTGCAGTCGAATGGGACTCTTTGGGCTTACAGGTACGGTTGTGGTAGGCAATGGTGTTGCTTATTGCCGGCACGGACACGTCGAGCAATGCGATGACGATCGGGTTCTACCATTTACTGGCTAATGAGGGTAACAAGAAGAAAGTCCAGGCAGAGCTGCGCGAGGCATGGCCGGAGAAGGATACGCCGTTTTCGTATGAAATGGCAGAGAAGTTGCCCTACCTTGTAAGTTGACTTTTATTCCTACCCAAATGCCAACTTCATAGTCCATAGACTGGCGTCATAAAAGAAGCCTTGCGTCTTAGCGCTGGCGTGCCCGTGTCCCTTCCGCGCGTTGTTGAGGCTGCGACTGTCATTGACGGACATGTAATTCCTGCTGGTGTACGTCTACTACTCCGGCTTGTTCCAGTCATTGATTAATCGATTCTATAGAGCGTTGTTGGCGTAGCCCCGCCGTTCGTCTTGAGGAACCCCGACATCTTCCACGACCCGCTGGAATTTAAACCGGAACGGTGGATCGGCGAAGACGCGCAGAGGTTGGACAAGTATCTCATTGTTTTCTCGAAAGGACCGCGGAGTTGTCTTGGCATGAAGTGCGTACACCCCCACTCAAATCAAAGCAAGTACGCTTATCATTGTACATGCAGTCTGGCATGGTGCGAGCTCTACCTGACTTTTGCGCACTTGATGCGCAAGTTTGATATGCGGCTGTTTGAGACGAGGTTGGTCTTGTTCCTGTCTTTGAATTGCTCTGCACGGAATTGATGATGTCTTCCGATAGTCTGGACGATATGATATTTCGCGACCATGTGGTCCCGGTGTGGACGACGAGACCGTTGCAGGCTGTTGTTTCCCCGCAGGTAGAATAGAGACTTCGCTGTGGTGGTGTTCTTCTATGTATTCAATATCCTGATGGAGGATCAGTTATAGTACTTATGCCTCGTAGTCGAGTATAGTATTCTGCTAGCTAAGTTGGTTGTAGAGGCAGGGCCATCTACTAATTTAGCACTGCGGGTCTAGTAACAGTGAAAGCTTTCTGACCGGCGACACTTGAAAGCCACACGTGTATAGTCACAGGGTTGCACTGTGACACCGATGGTGAAGCGGTTATCATGCTTGCCTTCCATTTGTGCGGGAAAAGCCGTACGAGCAAGCGGCAGGGGTTCGACTCCCCTTCGGTGTAATAACGTGAAAGCCAGTCCGACGTTTTTATGGAGTTTGACTTGATACCTTTCCTTTTTTCACTCACTTGCGGCTAGGGTCGTGGAAAAAACCTCCGGGGGTGGTAAAAAACGGTATTTTACCACCCCATCTTGAAGGGCCTGGTTTTTACCGGTATTAAACCGTTTTTTCCCCTAGCTGCGCCACATTTCTTTCCTCAGTTGTGTCTTGTACAGTCAAGGCCTCCTCTACCCAGGGCCTCTATACCGGATTCTACTAGCTTATAACAGCTCACTGACAATATGCTTTGGTATTATGTATATGTGGGTCCAGACACCAAGTGCTTGCATAGGACAAGCATGAGGGCGGCTCACGTGATAAAGTCATGTGCAGGTAAAATACCTACCCTCCAGACCCTTTAGTTTATTACCGGTGAAAAACTAGTAAATTACCTGCTCAAAACCAAGATGTATCAAAACCTAGGTTTACTTATTCCACAGCCCTACTTGCGGCACTCTACGTAATAGTCATGTAGACCGTAAAGCGGTATCGTCGGTTTGTTACCAGTCGGGTCGCAAAACAAACTGGGGAAGTGTCGTCTCATGCCTTCGGCAGTTTATCGTGCTCACCTTCATTCACTTGCCTCCCACTTTACACCTGCACTCTCTCACTCACGTATCCTTGACTCGCCGCCGCGTGCCACTTACTTTTTCTTTAACCTTACCGCGTCGCGCTTGTAGTTTTTTGTCGCCCGCCAACTTCTTGTATATCACGTTTCCCTTCCGGACACTTCTGGAGATTCAATTGGGTGTACAGCTGGGATAAGCGGGTTGACAGGATATACATAGGTCGGGTGCTTATCATTGTACCTGCTCCGTAACAATGGCCTGCAGAGGTCTCGTCGTCCACACCGGCACCATATGATCGCGAAATACCATGTCCTCCAGGCTATCGGAATACATCAGTCCGTCGGCGCACATCAAGAACACTAGAGAAAGACCAACCTCGTCTCGAACAGCTGCATATCAAACTTGCGCATCAAGTGCGCAAAGGTCAGGTATAACTCGCACCATGCCAGACTACAGTTGTAATAATGAGTGTACTTACGATGAAGAAAGGTACACGTACTTCATACCAAGACAACTCCGCGGTCCTTTCGAGAACACAATGAGATACTTGTCCAACCTCTGCGCGTCGTCGCCAATCCATCGCTCCGGTCTAAACTCCAACGGATCAGAGAAGATGTCGGGGTTCTTCAATACGAACGGGTGGGCTACGCCGACGATGCTCTGTAGACTCGGGTTAACCCGATGAGGGAACACTAAGGAGAAGCAGAGACGTACACCAGCAGGAACCGCATGTCCGTCAATGATAGTCGCAGACTCGACCACCCGAGGAAGCGCCACGGGCACGCCAGAGCTGAGACGTAGCGCTTCTTTGGTGACGCCAGTCTGTGGATGATGATTAAGAGTACGAAAGTCAGTAAACATGAACTTGCAAGGTACGGCAACTTCTCTGCCATCTCATACGAAAACGGGGTATCCTTCTCCGGCCACGCCTCTCGCAACTCTGCTTGCAGTTTCTTCTTGATACTCTCATTAGCCATCAAATGGAAAAACCCAATCGTCATCGCATTGCTCGACGTATCCGTGCCCGCAATAAGCAGGACCATGGCCTACACCCGTGAGTCCCAAACCATTTTAGTAAGGATGAGATAAAAAAACCCACCTCCTCGATCAACGCCTTCCTCGACGGCACCTCTCCCTTCTTCACCAACTCTGGCGTCATCAAATGATGATAAATCGTCTCATGCTCCACGCTCCTCAAACTCTCCGGGTCCCTCAATAGCGCATCAACCTGCGCGCCTAGAAACGCACGGAGCTGCGCGACGCCGCCTATGTCTGGGTTCAGTGCTACACCAAGCCAGTCTGGGAGATGGTGCAGCGCGTGGAGGAATGGGAAGAATTTGGTTGCTGTCATGAGAGGTAGCCCGCCCTCGACGGCGCGCAGGATCGGGTGATCGAATCCGGGCGTGGTGAGCCCCCCGAAGGAGTGCGCGTAGCTATACGCGGTGACGACGTCCATGGCGAGTGACCGAAAGCCGCGAAAGAGGTTGACGGGGGCGGATTGGTGTTTCTGGATTTGCGTTACGTAGAGGTCGACCTATAAGTAGTTAGATGTTTAGCAAATTGAACGATACGAAGAGCACCTTGTCTTGGACAAAATTCTCCAGCTTCAGAATTGCACGGCGCGAAAAGAGAGGATTGAGAATCTCCTGCCGTATCCTGTGATCCTGAACGTTCGTCATCCCAAAAGCAGAGTCGTCCTCTCCGAAAGACGTATAAAAGTCCGGATCCTTCGTAAATCCTGTGTAAGATGGGTATATCGCGAAGAATGCTTCTGCCGTATTGAAGTGGAGCTACGGCGTCGTTAGTCTTGAGCACGAGTTGCAAGGGAGACATGCCTCGTTCGGTCGTATTCTGACCACCGGACCTTAAGCAAGTGTCAGTACGCGATGCAGACCACTGGGGAGACACATACCATAGATTTCATGCAACTCCTCTAAGTGTTGCACAAACATCCCATTCTTCCATACCTCAAAGTAGCATTGGTAGTAGTCTGTGATGGCCGCGAGACGAGGGCCTGGGAATGTCTTGAGCGGGTGAAGATACCATCGATAGACGACAAGATAGATGAAGCGGGCAACGATGAGCAAGAAGAATAGCTGAAGGAAGGAAATTTGCTGTAGCGTGGCACCTATGGGATTCATGATTGCAGTAGGCGATACCAATGACAGCTGGCCAGATACTTATATAGCCTCAGCATTGAACTAAAAACACTCATCACACCCGAATCTTCATGTGATGATGTTTGGTGGAAAGGTTTCCCACTTGCTGCATAGCCTCAAGTAACACCTAGTCTGTATAGATTCAGCTGACACGCATGTAGTTCAAACATAGTACTTGCCGGCTTTTCAGCGTACTCCCCATAACATACAGGAGGCCAGCAAAGTGTTCTCGTCTCTGCTCACCAAGAAAAATCGCTTTGTACCCAAACTCGAAGGACAACATGCCACGGCTATGCTGAACGCTTATGGATGTATATGCAAGAATCTCCAGGAAGCTATGGATTTCTTCGAGTCGTCCAAGGAATACTTCCCAGCCGGCTACGATGCGGTGGTGTACGAGGCCATGCTCAACGTCATCACGGTCCATCGACGACCTGACCTCATTTCTGTGTACCTCGCGAAGATGGTCGATGGTCGTGTCCATATGACGGCTTACGTGGTCAACGTTGTCACGTACGCGATTGAGAGGTTCTCGACGAACCAACAACTCACGGAAAGGCGTTCCTGCCAAGTTCCTGCGAATAAAGAAGCTTCGCCGGATCTCTATTCGGTGAATTGAGACCTCCGCTCGACAAATTCAGAGATTGTCAAAATTTGGCTCGGGGGCTGATACTGGTCAGAGTTCCTCTATCCCATCTCGCGCTAGACGGCCGCTTGAATCGCCAGCAGAGCAGTATGGTCATGCCACGCTGGGAGACCCGGTCCTCTTTGTACCCTAAATTTGCGCTACGGCTTCCAAGGCGAACATGCTCAGTGGCTGTTCAGTATTTGCCAGTGAGCCTGCACTTCGTATGAAAAGATGATGGCGATCTAAAAATGAAAAAGGCTGGCAGCCTTATGTGGCTGTTTGCGTTTAAGTTGGTTCCGAGTCAGTGTTGAACTCTTCCATGACTGAGATCCGGTGTAGTACTACAGAAATTGTGCCGCTGTCCACCGTCCTCGTGCCCGTTTCCTTTACAAGTCAATGCAGAATGCTATCTGCCAAGCTGAAAGGTTGTATCAATGGATAAACAAGACTCATTGAGAGTAACCGGCGGAATGACCAACACCAATGGCAATGATGCATACCAGCAATAGAGCGCTCAACCCTAAATTTCAGAAAACTCGGAGCCGACAGCTAGTCAGTGCACGAAGTTATTACGGTTGGACACGCCCTGGATTTTGCAGAAAGGAGAGATTTAAGAAGGGAAAGGTGCGAAGACCCGTAGTTCAGTGGGAGCACCAGAAGAACCGCTACCAGAAATTGAGCAATCCAATACATTGTTGACAGGTATGTAAAGGGACTCACACAGCGTGCAGTGTATGTTGAGTTGAAAAGGCACTCACACAAGTGAACAACATACGGTCTGCCGCGGAAGACAGCATCGACAGAATCAATTTTGTGCTTAGAGACCACAATGGAGAAGCGCTGTCAAGGAGTACGATATAGCGATCGACAAGGGGAACGAGTACCAGCAAGAGAAGTCAAATGTTCTGACGGAGGAACATCACCTTGCTTGTCACGGTCCATCTGCCGCTCGCCTCAAGTACTGTAACATCGCTTTCCTCACATCGTCCAGCCTCGCGTTATGCACTGTAATGCATTGTTCTACCTTTCCATCCGCTTCTATCACCACTTGCCCCCGATCAATGTCAACACACGTCGCCAACGGCCACCCACCACCGTCACTTAGGGTACTACTTTCGTCGCTTTGAATGATGATGGCTACGACTCAAACTCAATAGGCGTATGATACGTTCTGCTTAGCCCCGAGCCTGATCAGCACAAAAGGCACCTGGTCGGCGATGAACTCAACGCCGAACACTTTCAGCTTGCAGAGCCTGTGGACACAAGTTCTTGACACCCGAATTGAGATACGAGAAGTCTTTCACGCTCTACCATGCTATTCCCACTGCCGACCATAACCGATCCGCTTAGTCCAACCAGATGGCACGGATACTATTCCTATTTTTTTTTGAGGACGTTCATGTTGAAGCTACAACTCAAGCTAGATGACTATGCATGGATTGTCTTCCGTATTTGAAGCTGAACCCTGAGCACGATACACGCAAGTTTGGTTGCTCGCATTGCGCAGTGCGCACCGAGAAACATGATGTGCGCGTGGACTTGTCATGACGCAAGCACAAGAGGCATCTGCGCTCTTTGGTGGGGAGGCCCGACTTCGGACTACGTGGGTGCGGAGACTAGCGACTGTTTGGCGCGCTTTTCGTCCGGATCATCTGCTCCCTCATTGGCTGGACCGCTTCATACCAGCTTGCAGGTGGCCATATGCTCCCCGATTTATGACGCGCAAGCGGCGGCACGTAGGTCGGGCTCCAAATAAACCTGCCAACGGACACTGACGATGAAGCGGTGCGTGATGCTACTGATAGCGCATTTATTCTGGTTTCGGCCGCTTGCTTGCCCTACTTGTGAACTAATGCATGCCAATGACGCTTGACGACTGTGGCCATCATTGACGTGATTATCTACTACACTACTGTTTAGTGTATATCTGGTAGGCTCCCTATGCGGGACTGTCAGCGTAGAGGTAAGAAACGCACTGCTTAGTAGCAAGAAATCTGGCGGTTTCATAGGAATTGTTGCGAGCGCCAGCGAGCATGGAAGGAAGGAAGGAAGTGTATTACTCAGCTGGGTACCGAAGGCACTGCTGAGGTGTAAGGACTATCTACTATGGCTATTGTACGTCCCTACGAGTTTGTGAACCCGGCCGGATTAAGTGACCAAACATGAACAAATTCACGTCGCGCAAGGGGCCCCAATTTCCAGTGAATAGGCCGCAGCCCTCTCATTTGTCCGTACTCCCTACAACTCGGCATCAAGCCTCTTAGTGGGTATATTGAACTGCTCGTCGCGTTTGAACCGTGTCTGTCGACAAAGAACTCTTGTTGGCATCGTTGGCAGGAAAATTTGGTGTCGCGCTCCGTGTTAAAAGCCGCGTATTTCGCCTCGGGTTACCGGTATATTGGCATACTAACTTGGGTGGTAGACCGCTACAGGAGAGACTAGTCAAATTTTCGCGTCGTTACATGAATCAATCTTATTGAAATCTCACAATCCCTTGACTAAAATTCTTGGTATCTGACCAATTTCATTGCGGCGTAGCCGCTCGCTGGCGCTCGCATCCGTGGGCATCCCACAGTTCTATTTTATCCGTGTGTCGATCCTCCAGTATCTACATAAATTTCGCGACATGGAAATCGTGATATGGCGATATTTGTTCCTTTGTCAACAGAATTCCCACTGGGGGTTAACTTTCAACATACAGGACTTTCTGAATGTTTAAGCAAGCAAGGTTCTTAGGCGGCGCAGGCGGCGCTTCCCGAGTCCACCATACTACTATAGAGTACATGGAAAGATCTAGCTTCAGAGGGTTCGGTTAATCGTAAACAAGAACTACACGGCGCTTTCAGCGCCGTAGGCGCGCACCCAAAGAAAAACTAGTCAGCGTACATCCAAAAAACCTCACGGTATCGAGCAATTGGTAGGCGAGTCAAGATGCGGAATGAATGTTTCCTTTTTCTTCACGCACAACAGCGGCAGGAAGAAAGTCTCGTAGACACGCGTTGATAAGAAAAAAAAGGATACATATGGATTGAGAAGGGGTAAGCACAGAGAAATATACAGCAACAACAGAAACTTGGGGGAAATGTACGCGCATAGTTATAGAACGGGCTTTACATCCACATGCCCCGATCCCAACTCGGATCCTGCAAGAAGGCACAAAGCACTTTACTCCCCGTCTGCAACAGCGGATGGCCCGCGACGACCGACAGGAACCTGATTGCCATGTGTGAGGATGGATCGGCTGAGGAAGAAGACTCCAATACTCGCCTCTCCAAGCCCTCCCTCCTCTGCTCGATAACCTCCTCGCTGAAGCGATTGGTGAAGACCTTTCCGGGGAGTGGTGGAATGTTAACACGCGTCGACTCACGCTCGAGGATGTCCCTGAAAGCCTGGAGAAAGGGAGGAGGTGAAGGGAAGAAGAGGAGGGACGGAGAGAGCACATACCTCAAAATCGCTGTAACGCCGCCTGACGAGGGAATGACGGAGTTTGAAGGCGGGAATGTTGGTCTTTGTGATGATCTCGTACGACGTGAATTGCTTGCGCCCGAACCCTGTCATTGGTCAGTACGAACTTAAGAGGAGAACAAGGAAAGCGTACCGGTCGTCTGCGGGTTGCGGACCTCGATTTCTAAGAATGACTCTGGGACGGAATACATCTCTTCGATCTGAAGAGGGCTGTTGAGCGGGAGAGTAACAAGAAAAGAGAGATAAGCTTCGAAGCTATAGCAGCGCAGTCGTCTACCTATATCTTGTCGTCCAAGTAGACGCCTGCTAATCCCAGCGGTACGCCCAGAAATAAACAAAAGCGAAAGGAGGCGGCGCACTCACAGTCTGTTCTCTCCCAACATGACTCTCCTCAAACGCCGTGCTCCTCGCAAAAGGCGACACAGTCGTCATCTCTTTTTCCTATTCCTGCTTTTGCCTGTGTTCTAAGTTCCCTGAGGCGGGGTCCTGGATGTCGTGTGGTGCTGTAGATATAGACAGGTTCCCTTCGCGCTTCCTAGGAGACTCCAGATAAGCCATTTTCGACCGGTTCTCGGCTCAAATCTCCTGCGCACCTGCGACAGTGGTGTGTGATTAACCGCAAAGCTTTGTGGATGATGATTGTCAGTAATCAAGACGCAAGAAGACCCTAACCCTAGTGCACAGCTTTTCCTTCGGCGCCATTAGCATTGCTCTGAGATTTGTTCTCACAACTATCAGTAGGCAATATGTAACAGGACAATCGAGATACTGCAAACACTGCCAACAAATGGAATAATCATTTTAGCAAGCTGCTAAACAGTAAAAAAGTACCGTGCTTGTGATCGCAAAGGTTACACCGAAGGGGAGTCGAACCCCTGCCGCTTGCTCCAGCCTGACAAGGAGAATATGGAAGGCAAGCATGATAACCGCTTCACCATCGGTGTCTTGTGAATTGTTCTATCCCGGGTATATAGAGCTACTAGGTCTTGTCCACTCAAAGATGCAGATTTATGTATCCTTCCGCCCTCGAGATATATTTACTTACAATGAAAGTGTGGTGTTGAGCTTCTGAGATTTCATTTCTGGACAAGTATTGTACACGATCACGTTTCCTACCACCATGCAATCACGGCTGGCGGCTTATTTACCGCACCGCGATCTACTCACTCGGAAACATGTTTCCAACCGCGGAAGATTCACATTATAAACGCTCTACACCGCCTGCGCGTCTCACATCTATCATTAGTATAAAGCTACAATGGTGTCGACAACTATATTGATATCGCTATGCTCAGCTTGCTCTTCAGCCTGACTCTCCTAGCGCAACTCGAACTTGGATCGGGAACATCTATATCTCTCTCTGGTACAAGGAAAGGTGGCGGCGGTAGCAGCAGTCTCACGCGCCGCGCCCCGGGCCCATCACAGCTAGACGACTTTGCGGACCTATCATACTCGACAAACGTCACGCTCAACGCAGGAGAATATGTCGTTCTCGTTGATACTGGCAGGTGCGCGTATACATTTTCTCTTTCACCAGGCTTCGCTTAACGCTCACGTCCACCCAAGCGCCGACCTCTGGGTCGTGCCTCTGAACAACGTCTCCGTGCCCGACAGCATAGACACCGGCGCGCGCGCCAACGTGAGCTACGCCATCGGGAGCGTATCGGGCCCCGTGAAAACCGCCGAGCTGGTCTTTGCGGGGTACACGGTGCCGAATCAGGCTTTCAGTAAGTCTCAGTGCGCGTCCTAAGTTGAGGCCTCCAATCATTTGATCTGCGTCTAGTCCAAGTCCCGCCTGGGCAAAACGCCACAAGCATGAACTCGAACGGGCTCATCGGCCTCGGCCCCAATGCAGGTTCTGAAATAGAGGCGGCGCTCGGCGGAACCGCTGTGGGGTATGGCCCGCTTGATAATATATTTCTGCAAGATGAGAGTGCGCAGAATATCATTACGATACTGCTGGGTCGGGTGGATGGTGCGTTGCTTCACGGTCTTTCAGATTCGCCTCTGCTGAGTGCATACTAGACCCCTTGCACGCATTCGATGGGACGCTCTCTGTTGGGGAAGTTCTCCCTGGATACGAAGATATTCTGGGGCAGCCCCAGCTCGAGCTGAGTGAGGGACAGCATTTCCAGTTCTTGATGGATGCGGATAGTATCATCGCGCCGGATGGGCGCGTGGTGTTTGTCGAGAGCGTGGTCAAAATTAATACCAATAAGAAACGCGGCGACAATGGGAGAAACGCGACAGCGGTTGTGGATAGTGGGTTCTCGCTGAGCCAGGTGCCCAAGTGCGTTTGATCATCCCTTTCTTCGTTCCAGATCATTTATCCACCCAAAAGAAACGTCGCCGACGCATTCTACGCCAAACTCCCAGACGCCAAGTACATCAACGTCGATGGAATCGGCCACATATGGGTCTTGCCGTGCTCGCAGGAGGTGAACATCACTTTCCAGTTCAAGGGCGTCCGATATCCGATTCATCCGCTGGATGCTACCATGTTAGTAGTCCCGTGCACTAGGTGCTTCATGGTTAACTGATTCACGTAGGGACGTCTCGTCACTTGGAGTGAACAATCTCACGGATTCACGAGGCCGCGCGGCGTGTGTTGGGACGGTGAGTGTCAAGAGTTTCTCTGTTTTTGTCTTTCTGCTAACCACTTACGTTGTAGTTCCAACCCATCAGCTTCGACGCGCAAGGCGTATTCGATATTATTCTCGGGATGTCGTTCAGTAAGCCCCTCTCTCCCCGCCCTTATCCGTTTCTAATGAGAAGTTGGCAGTCCGCAATGCGTACACACTGGTCAACTTTGGGGACTTCCTTGCGGGAAATAAAAGTAATGCGAAAGGGGATGGATATATACAATTTTTGAGCACGACGGATCCGGAGAAAGCGCATAAGGAATTTATTGTTGCTAGAGGAGGGGAGCAGTGATATTAATAATGAATTAGTGGGTTTTGGTCGTGGTTAAGTATCAAAGGGAGATTTAGAGGGATTTTGTAGATTTTGTGAGAGTGGATGCTTCTACAGTAATTATATGAGGAACTTGGATCTTCAAGCTTTTCAGGTCGCGATTTCTTCTGCGCTATTATAGTATGTCGTGGGATTGACGTAAAGACTCGAAATGGAAACACGTGGACGTTCCCATCTTGACCTCCACGTTCGTCGTCCAAGTCAAAAGGCTGGTGTGAAATGCAGTGGTCAGGACCAGGCGCGTATTTCCCATCGTTTCTCATTCGAAAGTCACAGTGCATTGACATCAAATTCCTCTCAGATACATTAGCTTGTCATGATTGTACATGCCCCAATCATATTATCCCCGACGCGCCAATCGGGACTATTCCCGACCCCCCTCCCTGTCTACGTCGTCTCGAAACCAGCAACGAGGTTCCCTCCCCCGAAGACGAACAGAAGCTGCGCACCGGTCTTTCAAACCTCACACGTCTTCGCACACATGCAGCGGCCACGCTCGCCGGAATCAGCGAGACCCGCACTGCACTCGCAGAGCAGCTCGCACAACTCGATATGCGCGCCAGCGCGTGGCGTAGATTTCAGCATAACGTCGCACAAGCAGAGGAAGCCCGTACGCGCGCGCTTCATCCCTTGCGACGCGTCCCTTCGGAGATCCTGCAGCAGATATTCCGGATGGCTGTCACCTCTGAGGAGTGGGATGTGGATGAACCAGGCGAAGGATGGCGGGGCGCACCCCCGTATCGCCCGCCGAAGAATCCGCTGTGGGCTTTGGAGCTGACGTGCAGACGCTGGCGCTGGGTGGTCCTGGAGAACCCGCGGCTCTGGTCTACGATCTGCATCGACTCTAGCGAGAGTAATTTCCACGATAGCGAGAAGGTTGCCTATGTGCGCCATGTAGCGAAGCATCTTGCTCGTTCAGGCGCGGTGCCGTTGGCTGTCTGCATATACGCAGACTCCCGCATCCCATCGCGACTGGTGTACATGCTGCTCCCGTTCGCCCCTAGAATTTCTACGCTTTTGTTGTGCGTTCCATATCCGTATATCAACGACCTTTCTCCGCTTCGGTCCGACTTGACGGCGCTCACGCGCTTGAACGTTCTCGATGGTGGGCCCTCGCAGAGTCTATCGCTCTTTGCGGAGTGCAGGACCATTCGCAGGATGCACTTTTCCTTCTACAATATCGTCGAGACTCCTTTCGAGATCTCTTTCCCTCGTTCGCTGCGAGATTTTGTCTTGGAGTCGCGCGCGGGGGTTAGCGCTGGTCATGTCCTATCTCTACTGGAACAAGCGAGCCCATACGTGGAAACAGTAAGGCTCAACGCGCTCAACCTCAACCCCCGCTCGCCGCGACGGATCACCATGTCGAGGCTGACCTCCCTCTCTTTCCTGTGTTACTGTATCAACGTCAGCGTGCGCTCCATCCTGAATAACCTCGTCCTTCCTAATCTCCTAAATTTGGAGATCCGTGGGCGCCACCCGCCGCCGGTATTCGGGAATGACTATCGGATGGTTAATGATGTGCTCATTGCCACAGCCCAGATGGTGACGCGGTCTGGTTGTAGTCTTGCTCGCCTGGACCTTTACCATATCTCGATATCCAATACGCAGACTGGGTGGGCGGCAATGGCGCGCGCTGCGATGTCGCTTACCGAGCTGCACGTCGTTGCATACAGATATATATTTGTGCCGCTTAAAGACCTTTTACCGCGCGATGCGTTCCCCGGGCTCAAGGCACTGCACCTGACGTGCTGCTTGGGAAAGGACGACGTGGAATCGGTCCTGGACTGGATGGAGAACAGCTGGAAGGATGTGCAGTTCAAACGGTTTGTGGTCAGGTGGTTGCCGCACTCTAAGGCGGATATGTTGTGGCGGAGTATGATCAGTCTTGAAGGCGACGAGAAGAGGAAGGTTGTAGGGAGATTTGTGGATGGGGTTGCCAAGTTTGAGGGATTACGAGTGCAGCTCGAAGTTCTTTAGAGTGGAGGTTGTTTGGCACTGGAAGAACGAGAGGTGGAAGATCTAGAATAGGTGATGCGGTCGTCAAGTTACAAAACACAACCCAGAGCCCATAAATGAAATTAACCAGTGAGAATCCTCACGACGGTACATATCTAAATAAGTAATCTATCATGAATATTCCCCCCTGCATGATATTCTTTACAATATTGCCTCCCTACATACAACTCTTGAACATTTAACACTTCTCATCTCTCGGTTCAGTCTTCAGGATATGCTAACACCATCACCCATTGTCCAAAAACAGTACAGATATAATTTCATTATGACACACTAGGTATCAGAGCAGAGGGATGTTTATATCTAAAAGTACACTGATGCAGTACACGGTACGATACAGAAAGCATACACAGCGAAGAGAAGAGAGAAAAGGGAGAGCATACATTATAAGTTAAGTAGAGCCCCAAAGAAGAAAAAAAAATCGAGTTAAGGTCCCTCATCTCCATTCGCAAGCGTCGCCACGGGGGGCTGGTCGTTATTCGTCGTTGTGAGTTGCTCCTTGACATCATCCGCTTCCGCTTCCGCTTCCGGCTCCTCCTCCTCCGCCTCAGCATCACCATCCGCGTCGCCATCCACGTCGCTCCCAGTCCCGCTGCCACTCCCGCTAGCATTGGATTGAATCACCCGGGGCTGTGCTGGCGGGACGACAGATGGAGTCGGCGACGCCTTAACACTCCCATTCTCGATCCCACTCATAGCTCCATTCTCCGCGAGCGGCGGCGGCGCAATCGCCGCTCCGTGAACTGGCGTCTGAGGTGAATGAGCAGCGCCGACTGGCCCGGAATACGTTTTGAACACTGCGGCAGGTTGTTTCCAGCGAGCTGAGGAACGGGCGCAGAGCCGAGTGTGTTCTTGCGCTCGACGCGTTTGATTTTCTTGCGGCATCTAAGCGGGAAAACTATTCAGAGCCTGTGATGAGGGGGAGCAAGGTGGATGACCAACCTATCGCAGACAG